GAATTCTGAAGGGTTTTTTTTTTTAAATTGTTAATCTGATCATGACATTTTGCACTTTTGTATATTTTGATTTCCTATATAGAAATGTGAATAGCAATAACTTGACGTTTAATCTGTAGTAATTCACAAGTGAAATAAAATATTTAGGAAATAACAAACAGTGCAGTTAATCAAGCAATAATAAAAATCGGGAACAGAGCAAATGCGGACCTTCATTCATATATCAAAGGTGGTATTAGGTGTCCCTTGGGAGTATACCGGTATATTCCCGGTCAAGGCCGGCGTATGCTCTTTGTCATAATCGGTCAACAAAAATCACCCGCGTTGTGCAATGGTTAGAACCTCAGCTCTAGAGTTGCGAAGTCAGATGTTGATCCTGACATTGCGGATTTGAATCTTACCGTGGGACGTAGCATTTGGTCCTTCGGATGAGACCGTGTAAACCGAGATCCCGTGTCGCAGTAGGTGTTGGTACCATAAACGATCCCTCCTTGCTCAATGGATGAAAGTGTGAAGTAAAGAACAACATTTTCAGCCCTCCAACGGCAAAAAGTTGCGTCTTCATATGAGTGAAAATTCTCGAGACGGACGTTAAACAACAGACCGAAACATGTATTACTGTATGAAAAAAAAATTGGTACTGAAAGAAGTTAGCATTGAAAAAAGTTGGCCTCTACCCCCCGCCACCCCCACCCCCTGAGTCTGTTTTATAATGATTTTGGTCACACCATGGTTTTGCGGCATTCCCTATATATGATAGTGATCCATGTTGCAGGTTGCACAACAATTTTAATTTTAAAAATCAGTAGGTCCTAAAGTATAATAAATCTAGTCAATGCAGGAAGTCTACATGTATTTTTTTAAATTTAAAAAATAAATCAGCTCCATCTCGTGCCGAAATGCCCAAATCGGGAAAGGAGATTGAGGAATTATTCTGTGTCAACTATATTTGACGTGATCTTCAAATAAAAATGCTGTTATGATACCAGCAAGGTAAAAGTCATGCTCCGAGTTTTCTGCATACTTTTCACTTGATAAATTGATAAAACCTTTATTAGACCTGCTTAAATACAATATTAAGCAAATCGTCACTGCACGTTGTCATTAGTGACAGTGTGTGGAGTGTCCAGGGCGTCATGCTCGACCTTTTTGGATTTTGAAAAATGGATATTGTGTATGACTACCGATGCATGCACATCCAGCTCCTTTGGCGAAAAAATTCAACTTGCGGTCAAAATCACCTTACTGCCGGGTTATATGAGATGCATACCAAAATATGCATACAAATTAGTAAGTCCATAATAAAAGCCACTTTCGAATTACTCGTTTCATACTGTTTAAGAGATACAAGGAGGGGCTATCGCTCGCCCATGTCCCGGAATGACCCGGATATCTCTGTAAAGTAAGAAACTCGTACTAAAATAAATCTCACATAATAATTAACACGTTGTATTAAGGAATTGTAAAATTGTCTAAATATTAAAAAATAAAAATGCATTTCCCTAAACGCTATCTGTTAGACAACGACATGTAGATCGTATGCTCCTTAAGCCAATCTTTCTTCTTAATATGAATCTAGTTAAACATATCCTTGTTCAACGCGTATCTTAACTGCATTTACTCCCCTTATTTGTCTTTCTTTCTATACAAGATATGTACATATAGCTGTTTTAATTTGGGTGGGGTTTATTACGACAATGCTTTATTTTAATGCGCTTTGCTTTTGTAAATTGTAACCTAGTTTTGTAGCTAATGACCATTATAATTTTTCTGGCTTCATCAATTTCTCTATATTATGTTTATTTTATTTTGTGCACATCATTGAATCACAGACAGCAAGCTCGCAACGTTTATTCATTTTCATGAGTGTATGTCTGGGGGGAGATATTTTTTTTTCATTAAGATATTTCTCGCCAATATCAAAAGTTTTTGGTGAACACAATTTATCACAGAGTAATAAGACTTAGTATGATTACATGTAATTGGAAAAAATTCAACGACATCTTTATCAAAATCTGCAGTGGATAAGGATTTGTACTAAGAAATATATTAATATGATTAAATGAATCTGAAAACAGTTTTATGCTCCTGAAATCAAAGATTCGGGAGTTTATTGTTTTTTACCTGTCCGTCTGTCTATCCGGAAAAACTTTAACCTTGCCCATAATTTTCATATTTCACATGTGTATTCCTTTTGACGAGACCTTTCTTCGGGTACCATCAAACTTGACCCCTTTACCTTGGATATTGACCTTGGCCATGATTATTGACCGGGGGTGTTAGGCTTTCATACTTCTTATAGGTATTCACTGTTACAAAACATTACAATAGGTAAATGTATACAAATCTATTTTGACCTTAAATTTGACCCACTTTTAAAAATATTTTGACCTTGCCATAATTTTTTATACGTAAGTCCTACATGTAGGGACTTTCATATTTTTGGATGTTTACCTTGTGATAATACCTTTCTCAAATCTGATCTGTTGGCCTTGACCTAGGATTTTGTCTTGCATTTGAAAAACCCCAATCTTCGCCATAAGCTGCCATACGGGCCGGGCGCATCAGTGTTTCACAAAAACATCTTGTTCCAAGATTCTTTAACCTCATCATAAATCAATTAATATCAGAAAGTTTTTCACAAATTAAAACATCAAGTAATGTTCTTTTTGCTTACACAATGGTCAAAATTTCTTGTAATTGAGTGTTCTATATTAACCTTAATGGTAACAAGATGTGTTTGTAAAACACTGATTCCCTCGTATGGCAACATAGCAAAGATTAAGCTTTTCTTAAATGCAAATTTAATTAATTGGTACCAAAAGTAGGGTATTCTCACTGGAAAACAATTGTGAAATTTGAAAGTAAGCTAATGTTAAACTTTTTTAATAATTACAAAAATCTCCAAGGTCAAAAGGTCAATGTAATTTGTATCAAATGTAAGGTCCTGCCACATAAATACTTTTGTAGAGCATGAAAGCCCTAGCCCTAACCGTTCAGAAGGTATGGTCAACGTTCAATTTCTTAAAAAGTAGGTCAAACTCCAAGGTCAAGATCAAAGGGTCAAAGTTATTGTTATCAAATGAAAGGTCTTGTCATAATGATCAAATATGTAAAGTATGAAAGCACCAGCCCTAACTCTTTAAAAGTTATGGTCAAGGTTTGCTTTGTTAAAGTAGGTCAATCTCAAAGGTCAAGGTCAAAGTTCTTGTTATCCAATGAAGGGTCTTCTCACAAGGATTACATGTATGAAGTATGAAAGCCCTATCCTTAACCGTACAAAAGTTATGGCCAAGGTAAAAGTTTTTTCACACGTAAGGAAATCGTCAAGGTCAAAGGGTCAAAGTTGTTTGTATCCAGTGAAAGGTCTTTTACAAACATTATACATGTGAAGTATAAATGTCCTGGTGTCTACTGTTCAAAAGATATGGCCAAAGTAAAATTTAAAAATTTTCATGTAAAAGTGGGTCAAACTCGGGGGTCAAAAGGTCCAATTTGGTGGTACCCAAAGAAAGGTCTTGTCATAAGGATCAAATATTTAAAGAACGAAAGCACTGGCCCTAATCTTTAAAAGTTATGGTCAAGGTTTGCTTTTTTTAAAGTAGGTCAATCTCAAAGGTCAAGGTCAAAGGGTCAAAGTTCTTGGTATCCAATGAAGGGTCTTCTCACAAGGATTACATGTATGAAGTATGAAAGCCCAATCCTTTACCGTACAAAAGTTATGGCCAAGGTTAAAGTTTTTTCACAAGCAAGGAAATCTACAAGGTCAAAGGGTCAAAGTTGTTTGTATCCAGTGAAAGGTCTTTTAACAAACATTATATATGTGAAGTATAAATGTCCTGGTGTTTACTGTTCAAAAGATATGGCCAAAGTAAAATTCAAAAATTTTCATGTAAAAGTGGGTCAAACTCGGGGGTCAAAAGGTCCAATTTGGTGGTACCCAAAGAAAGGTCTTGTCACAAGGAATACACATATGAAAGTCATAGCTCCACTAAATCAAAAGTTATGGGCAAGGTTAAAGTTTTTGCGGACAAACAGACAGACAGAGAGACAGACAGACACGACAAAAACTATATACCCCCGAAACTTCGTTTACGAGGGCATAATAAAGAATAAGACGGTTAATAGAATATTAAACAAAGAATAAACCAGAGTTACTACATAGTTCAATGAAAAGCACCATCAGTTCATCAGTTGATTCAGATTCATGATAATTTCTTTTAAGGTTATCCGATCCTCAGGTTCTGAAAATCAGGCATTGAGTAGTTGAAAATGCTCACAAAGATGTCTCTAAATTCTCAAATTAAAATGTATTTACCCACGGTGTTTCTTTAAACTACATCGTCAAATTTAATCATATTAAATAGGGAAAATTAGTAAATCTCAAATAATTTTTCAGAGAATGCGATTTGAACTACTCACTGCATATTTTTTCAATTGATCACTGATCAAGAAATACATTTTAGGAATAAAAATCATAGGTATCCAGGCTTTTAAAGAAAATTGCATGAATTTTATACTTATTTAGTACTTTACTTTCTCCTACTTACTTCCATCATTTCATAATACATTGTGTATGAAGTGTTTCCTTTCAAACAAAACACCGTAAATCACTTCTAATTTCAAATCATGCTTATAAACATTGGAAACTAAAGCTAAATTAAAAGACATTTGATTTTTTAAAAATATGCAAGTTTTACTTAGTTTTATGAGGTACAAATGTCAACTTTTTTAATACGATTTGTTAAAACTTTAAAGAACATTGAATCATATGTAGAGGCATAAAATGAAAATTATTGCATGAAAAAATTTCAATTTCAAGCTTTATTTTAAGCTTTTTGAATTAAATTATAAATTTAAGAGTTATCCTTCCTGGCTGAGGATCGTATATCCTTAAACTATTTTTTAACAAGGAAAGAGTAATCATTTTTATTGTACAGTTAATAACACATCTGTGAATTTAAAAAAAAAATCCAGATTACTTTTTCAATTTTTCTCAGTAGAAACAATCGAGAACACAACATTAACACAACAGGCATCTTCGACGACATTGGATAGCACAGATTTAACGCAGGAATTGTCTTCAACGACAATCGAAACCACAACTTCAATGCAAAAAGCACCTTCAACAACACAAGCTAGTACATCTTCCACTCAGCATTTATCAACTGTAGAAACAATCGAAGGCACAACTTTAACGCAACAAGCATCTCCGACGACATTGGATAGCACAGTTTTAACGCAGGAATTGTCTTCAACGACAATCGAAACCACAACTTCAATGCAAAAAGCACCTTCAACAACACAAGCTAGTACATCTTCCACTCAGCATTTATCAACTGTAGAAACAATCGAAGGCACAACTTTAACGCAACAAGCATCTCCGACGACATTGGATAGCACAGTTTTAACGCAGGAACTGTCTTCAACGACAATCGAAACCACAACCTTAACGCAACAACCACCTTCAACAACACAAGATAGTACGTCTTCCACTCAGCATTTATCAACTGTAGACTCTCCTACAACATCTGAGACCACAACTTCAACGCAGCAAATATCTTTATCAACAACAGAGGATATAACTTCATCTCAACCGCATGCATCAACCTTAGTAAAAGAAAGCACAACTACACCTAGACAATCGACAACAACTGTAGTAACTTTCACGGATCTCAGTTACTTAGACAGACTGGGGTTTACTCCAACTACGTTTGCTGCAATGACAACAGGGGTGTCTTTCCTCATTTTAGTCACAATAGGCATATTTGTTTTACTTTTGTATACTATACATAGAAAAAACAAATTTAAAAATGAACCTCAAAAGAAATATCAATGGGATGATACTTGTAAAAAGAATAATAGAAGAAATGTGTACAGTTTAAGAACTTATCCTACAGCATTCCAAAATCGCAAGCCATTATTTTATTATTACTGGTGATACAAAATGTTTGTAGGACTCTTAAGTCCAATGGTAACGCCAAAGTCTGCTAGTCTGTGTATAACCCCGATGGTTTGACACGCCTAAGCCCGAAGTTGCAGGAAAACAAGTAACGTTTATGACGTCATAGTACTACTGCGCGGTAGGCGTTGGTACGTAAGAGATCCCTTACTGCTCAATGGCTGCGAGTGCCGATTACAGGTCTAAATTTGAAGCCCTTCACCAGCATACAGTGAAGACTGTAAACAATATACAACAAGTCAATCAAACATGTCACGTCAGCACACATTTCTCTGTGTATATTTCTACGCGTGATTATATACGAAAATGGTATTCAAAACAGTAAGCTCAGAAGAAAAACTCAGCGAATGTAAATATTGGACCTTAGCGTGTCACACCATCGTACTTTAGCGCATCGCCTCTCATTGGAAACAAGCGAGACCATCGAACTTTTAATTCTTAGACATGTATACTAACATTACATTGTAGATTTATAATTTTATTATCTTTTAATATTTATAACTGCATCAAAAACATTTAGTATTATGGGAATTTCTGTAAATTGTCTTCAGCACATTACTTGTATATGTAAATCTTGTCAATAAGAATTGAATCTTTTTTTTATTAAACTAAAATATTGATTTTCTCACAAATCTTTATTATCAAATAAATCAAATATATAAAGCGTGGGACGTTTCTAATTCTGATGGCTAGCATTAATGACATATTTTTACATATACCCTTTAAAAAGAAGATAATCCGGATAAGGAAAGATAAAGTATTTGTTCACTGTTTACTTCATCAATAACATTTTCAATATTAACCATGAAATTATGAGTAAAAACCTTTTCTGAGAGAAAAAATCTCGTAATACCTTTTTCTTTTAAAAATATTAGATGGTATCCGTGGGATTCGAACCCCTAGCAATAAAAATCCGAAGTATAAGACTTTGAGACTAACGCGCTAACCACTATATATGCTATATGGCTCATGATGATTTTGGGACATTTGAATCATGTTTGTGATATGACCCTTGACTTAATGGACTTAGTATTTCTCAGAAAGATGCGAATTTTGTGCCATAAAAGTGTACTTTCAAAGAATAGTGGGTCTTCGCTCCATGTTTTTGTAAACAAAAAAATGTATATTTCATTGCAAACTTTAAGGATTATCTTTCAAAAAATTGAGCGAAGACCCCACTCATATTGAAAAAAAAATTGTTAAAGTATGAGAAAATGGTCGTTTTTGTTCTCTTTAGTGTGTGTATGCTTTTTCATGGGCAAATAATTTCAGTTTTGTGGAGATTTTTGTCAATTTTAGAGATTATACATTTAGTATACTTTAATATTAGATGAAATATCAAATAAAAGTTGGATATAATTGAGATTTAAATTTTTCATTTCTTATCTGTCGCACTATAGGCATTTCGCCCGACTTATCCCCCCATCTTCTTGTTAATTTCATGGCCCCTGGGTCAGAGGTTCTGGTATTAGGGCGGGGCTCTATTGATTATATGGTCAAAATGCATAAAATCTTTGAAAATCTTTTCCTTTGGTCCTGGGTATTACTAAGTATGCCAATGATCTGTGTGATCTGTGTACATACATATATTTATGATGAAGAAAAATGATTAATTTCAGGACAGGATCCTTGGTCAGGGATACAGGGGAGGGGGGGGGTTTCAAAGTCTGAGAATAAATTTATGCTTTGAAATCTGCTCTTTGGTATTAACCATTTACAATGAAATAAAAATGATAAAATTTCCAAAATATTGAAATACTAGTATGTGGTCCCAGGGCCAGTGGTTCCTGTGGGATGGGGTGCACAGTTGGTTATAAAGTGGAAATTTTCTCTTTGTTACTCTGATCTACCTCTGGGTATTAAGAAGCCAAAGTAAGCATACTAAGTGTATAGTAATGATAAGCAATAATGCCTCTATCAAAATGGTGAATTTCATGGCCTCTGGTTAAAAAACGAACCAAATTTAATTGTTGGAAAGTTGTTACATGATACTCAGATGACCTATAAGGCCCGTGGGCCTCTTTTTATAGACATCGAATGTCTTTAATCTAGCTTTAGATACGAATGATTTAGCATGATATGAAATTAAAAAAATGTTCTGTAAAGTCATATATATGTATTATGATAATGCAAACGTTTTACACATTTTTTTTTATAAGACTTGATCTAAATAGAACCTAAGATCCAAATAATTATGAAAAACATGCAATATCCTCAATTTAATTTTTTTATGTGATACGATTAACTTTAATGATAAACTTTGAATACACATTTTAATTTAGGATTCAAAGACTTTTTTTCGCATTTTCAATTATCTACTAGTAACTCCTTTTTTCGGGACTTGAGGATCGGACTACCTAAGTTATCTCTCCATGAAATTTGCAGTGAGATTATGATGGTGTATCATATATGAAATATCCTAACAGATTTAGATTTTAAGGACTTGGCCATTTGATAATGAGAAAAGGGCCCGGCAAAATATTTCGGGTCAGATTTTAGCTCACCTCAAGTGATCTTTTTTGATCACCCATTGTCCGTCGTCTGTCCGTCTGTAAACATTTCACATTTTCAACTTCTCAAGAAACACTGGGACAAATTTAAGCGTACAAAGCAATTTAAACAATAAAAAAAAAACGGGCAACATGAAATGACTTAATTTACAAGGTATATCTAATAGATATGTTTCCATTGATTCAATGTTTGTGAATCTCTTAAAATGAACTCGGCAATTATTTTAATTAACATTTTTTTTATTTGCAGAAATGTTAAAAATTAAAAGTAAGCTCCTGAGATAGACACTGATAAACAAAACCCTAAAGATCATGTCGTGTGCAGGTACATTCGCCGATTTAATATTTATGTACATGCAAGCATTGACAAATGTTTATTTATTTGTAAAAATATTTACTTTTGATTTATTGATTTTAAAGATATCTTGACCACAATTTGCAGTAAACAAGAATGAACATCAGAAAAAAAGTTAAACATCTTAGTTCGGTTTATCACAAAAGGTCACGCTATTTGATGAGAACAATATAGTACGACTTACTATACCGTATTACTTGTTTACAACCGATAATTAGTTCGTTCTGCATTCAATTATGTAAAATGTGCTTTATTCATTTTATTTGGACTTGAAAAAAACAAGAGGCCAATTGGCCACATCGCTCACCTGAGAAGCTTTGACCATTCTGTTCTTTACCAGTTTTCCCCCTTGTAATACGTATTGTGACGCCAACCTACCCCACTGATCATAATTTAGACAATTTGAAATCTACACTACCCCAGGATGCTTCCACACAAGTTTCAGCTTTTCTGGCCCAGTGGTTCTTGAGATGATTTTTAAAGATTTTTCCTGTATATTTCTATGTAAAACTTGATTTCCCTATTGTAGCCCTGCCCAACCCCCGGGGGTCATGATTTGAACAATTTAGAATATATACTACACCAGGACGCTTCCACATGAGTTTCAGCTTTTCTGGCCCAGTGGTTCTTGAGAATAAGATTTTCGAAGATTTTTCCTATAATTTTCTTTGTAAAACCTGGATTCCCCATAATGGCCCCGCCCAACCCCCGGGGGTCATGATTTGAAGAATTTAGAATCTTCACTACCCTAGGATGCTTCAACTTAAGTTTCAGCCTTTCTGGCCCAGTGGTTTTTGAGAAGAAAATTTTCAAAGATTTTTCCTATATATTTCTATGCAAAAATTGGATCCCCCATTGTGGCCCCGCCTAACCCCCAGGGGTCATGATTTGTGCAATTTAGAATTTACACTACCCCAGGATGCCTCCGCATAAGTTACAGCTTTTCTGGCCCAGTGGTTCTTGAGAAGAAGATTTTTTAATGACCCACCCTATTTTTGTCTATTCTTGATTATCTCCCCTTGTGAGAGGACTTGGTCCTTCATTTTGACTATTTAAATTTCCCTTTACCCAAGGATACTTTGTACTAAGTTTGGTCAAAATTGGCTCAGTGGTTCTTAAGAAGAAGTCGAAAATGTGAAAAGTTTACAGACAGACGGACGGAGGGACGGACGATGGACAAAATGTGATCAGAAAACCTCACTTGAGCCTCCGGCTCAGGTGAGCTAAAAAGACAAAGGAAATGCTTGTTTAACAAATAACATTCCGATAAAAACTTACAAAAAGTAATTTACATTATTATACTTTCATGTTAAATACTAAAATCTGATTGGTTTAGACGCAGGTAACAATCCGTTCGATTACCCTGAGCCTTAGCAACACACGTGACAACGGGTAACACAACGGTAATGCCTCATGCGTGGAAATTATGCGCGTACGGTTCACCGTAGAATTCTCAAAACGTCAGTTGCGCGTTTGAAAGAACCGGAATTAACTTGACGTCAATAAAAGCTTGCGTCCGATATAGCTTACTTGAAAACAACAAACGACAGACGATACATGCTTGCGAGTTTAGGAAACATGCTTGCGAGCCAGAAATAACGAAACTTTATATGATAAATGACTCGAATTCGAGTATCAAACAAACAATAAGGAGATTAGTGAACCGGTGAGTGTGAAAGCTTTCTATACATGAACGTAAAGACGATCGACGGTTTTTTTTTTTTTTTTTGCTGACGTCCTAAATCAATAAGACATTCAGTATAATAAAATAAATGGTGCCTGTTTTGTAGGGTAACATTTGAAATTGACACCCCTCGGAAAACCATTGTCAACCTCCGCTGACGCGTCGGTTGACAATGGTTTTCCTTGGGGTGTCAATTTCAAATGTTACCCTACAAAACAGGCACCATTTATATATTATGGCACGTTTCTAAAGGCAGGATCACGCACGATTAAACCCGCAAACGATTGAGTCTGATACACGCATGATTTCGCACGTTACACGAACGATTCTACACGATTGTTTGTCCACAATAACGTTGCAGCCACTGTATCTATTTATGCAAGACTTTTGAAAAATACCAAAATCAAATTGTTTACTTCTTTCCATAATCCTCCAACACTAAAACACCTTATCCTCTTTCAATGAATAAAAAGTCTAAAACAGTTTGTCGTGTGTTGCCACTTTTGTGACGTTTAATAATTTGTTCAAAAATCTCAAATTATTATTAACAATGACATAAGTTTAGTAGACTCAAAATATAAAGATGAGAAATAAACCAATTTTGTAAAGGAAGATAATCCAAATTTCCAGTGATTACAACATAGACTTAATCGAAAATTCATGAAAATGGGTCTGAAAACACCACTGACTTGACCCCTAACTTAAATTTACTTAATATATTTTTTAAATTGCTATTCATTTAGTTCTGAACTACTCTTTGCGATCAAATACGTTTTTATGGCCAAAATTAAATTTATGGAATAGATTGTAAAATACAGAAGGGAATCACGAGTTAACGTTCATAGTTCTTTATAATATATATTTCAATCTGGAAAACGGTATATCTAAATCTTCTATAGTCAAAAACTCGTAGAAACCAAGAATTTGCGAACTTGGAATAATACATTCTATACATTTTCGTTATCGATATAGATCATTTCTTATTGTGATACCAACAGAAAGAAAATTGGTAAAATTCGCACATTTGAATTGCATGCTGACTAAATAAAAAAAACCCTGACAAAATCAA